AATTTATTGTAGAGATGAGGTCTCACCAAGTTGCCCAGGCGGGTCTCGAACCTGTGGACTCAGGCAATCCACTCACCTCAGCCTCCCAAAGCACGGGATTACAGGCTGAGCCACCGAGCCTGGCATTATACATTTGTTAAAACAGAATGTACAACACCAGGAATGAACTCTACTGTAAACTGTGGACATTGGGTGATGATGACATGTCAGTGTAGGTTCCTTGATTGTAACAAACGTACCACTCTGGAGGTAGAGAGGTTGAATGTGTGGCTGGGTAGGCAGTAAATGAAATTCTCTGTACTTTCTGCTCAATTTTGTTATAAACCTAAAACTTCTCTTAAAAATAATCTATTTAAATTGAAAAAATAAGATAAAATGAAGGAAAGGTTATAGTCCCAAAATGTTAGCCATGATTCCATCTAGTGGCTAGATTAAGGGTGATTTGTTTGTGTATGCGCTTTTCTGTATTTTTCAAATGTTTGGCGATGGACATTTGTGATTTTCATAGCCAGAGAAAGATTTTTTTAAGCAAAGAAGTCCCAGCTGCAGGTCTTTTAACCCCAATGTCCATAGTGTTGACACTCTGCTTTCTTTCATCTTCCTGAAAGGGTCACCTGAGTGAGGGGTATGGACAGCTTTGCAGCATCTACCTCAAACTGCTGAGAACGAAGATGGAATACCACACGAAAGTGAGTCTCTGTGGACGGCTCTTCTGCCACCACTTCTCCCTCAGTTCCCTTGGCACTGCTCAGGCCGAAATTGTCAGGTCTAGCAGGTCGTAGACAGCCTGGGCTCCTGAGGGGAGTGGATGTTCCATCGTCCAGCTGTGTGAGAGGAAAGCCACAGGCAGGCCCCTGGGGCGTAGCAAAGTCTGGGATTTGGGATCTAGATCGTTTCCCATTTTGCAGCCAGAAAGGGGAACCATTTCCACTAGGCTGCCTTTTAAAAATGTCACAGAAGCACTGATATTTCCTGTTAGTAAAAACAATTCCTGCAGTTTCTATAGTGAATTCCCACACAGACTCTTGTCTTAATCGGTATATGACTGTGGTCAGTATTTCTCACACAGTCTGATGCAACTGTCCCAGAAGCATATAAGAATAAGTAAAAATGGTCTGCTTTATAGGAGTTGACAGATTCATGAGGGGAGAAGGCATATGTGCACACCTGCAAAGCCGTTACTTATCCCTGTGGGGAGGTGCCAGAATGTTCTGAAATGACAGAGGGTCACAGTGACAGGAAGGGCTGTGTGAAAGTGGAGTGGAGTATGGTTTTGGTGCAAATAGGTGCGTGGCGGAGAAGGATAGTGAAGCAGGTGGGAGAGGAAGCAGCATGAATTAGGGAACTGGCCGTGGAAATGGAGAAGGAGAGAGATTGAAAGATAAATAACATAACTTAGTATCTTTATCTCTGTTATCTTTCATGTACTTGAAGGGTAACTTTGATTCATTGATTCTGTTCCACTGTTAAACCTTTAACGGACATAATTTAATCCTCACAACGACTATCTGAAGTAGGTATTATTATATCCTAGGAAAATGAAATGTGGAGAGAGAGAGGTGAGCCCCTGTCCAAGTCACATAGACCTCGGAGGGGATATGGGGATTTGAACCCAGGCCCGCTTGATGCTGAAACTGCTGCACTCAGTGGCCTCTTACCCTCCTCAGTGCATTGCTGAGTGCCTGCCAGGGGCTAGGCTGGGTTATGTTATGAAGAGAGAAAGGTGAATCGACTTTGTCCTGCCTTTGGGAGTCTTGCAGTTTCTTTGGGAGGGTACAGAGAAGACTGGAACTGAGAGAAGCAGAAGGTGGCATATAAGGGCACATCTAACCCAGACTCAGGGACCCAGGTAGACTTCTCAGAGGCAGTAGCACCTGAGCTCAGTCTGAGAGTGTGTGGTTTTGTGGCTACATAACAAGTCACCCTAAAACTTAGCAGCTTACCACCGCCACGGTCTTTTATCAGCTCTCATACTTATTGTGGGTTGGGGTTCTGGAAGGACTTGCCTGGGCACTTCTGGCCAGAGGCCTGTCATGCTGTTGCAGTCAGACACTGTCTTAAGTCAGAACCATGGGGGCTACACAGGGCCTGGCCCAGCCCGTGGGGGGAAGAGAAGAATAGGCCAGCTGAAGAAGGGCAGATGGGCCCTTCAGGCAGAGTGATCAGCGGAGATCTGGGGCATCAGGCCTGGAGCAGTTCGGCATTGATGTGGACTAGCAGCAGATCCTCATGGGTTGCAGCGACAGGCATGGAACCCGCCGGGTCACAGAGGCCTCGGCACCCTCCTGAACAGCACCTTGGACTGCTCTGTACCTGATGGGGACCCGGCCATAAAGCAGGTGACATGGACCACTCTGTGTTTTAGGCTGCTCTTCCTGGGGCAGTGCGTAGGGTGGACTTGAGAGACTCAGGCTGCCATCATGGGCGAGGCTGAGACCCAGAATTAGGACCGTTGTCCACAAATGTTACAATG